GAAGTAATAAAGTCTCAAGATGCTATTCTCTAGAAAGAAGCCATGGAGGATGAAATAAACTCCTTCATTCAAAATGGTATTTAGGCAACTCATGGATCTAACAGAAAGAGCAAAGCCAAACAAATGCAAGTGGATCTTCAAAAGAAAGTTGTGAGTTGATGGTGGCATTGACAAGTACAAAGCAAGATTAGTGGCTAAAGGTTTCACTCAGAAAGAAGACATCGACTTCTTTGACGTCTATACACTAGTCTCTCACATTACTGCCATCCGAGTGTGTTGATCTCCTGGGTTGTGATCCAAGATCCTGTAGTACACTAGGTTTCATCCGAGTGTTGATCTCCTGGGCCACAATCCAAGATCCTATAGTACACCAAAGATGTCAAGATAGCATTCTTGAATGAAGATCTTATTAAAGAAATTTACGTGGAGCAACCTAAAGACTTTATCGTCAAAAGCTTAGATAATAAAGTGTGCAAGTTATTTAAATCTCTCTATAGTTTGAAGCAAGCTCCAAAGCTATAGCATGAGAAATTTAATAAAATTATCAAAAGTGATGGATTCCAGGACATTGAATCTAACAAATGTCTATACATCAAGATCATAGATGGAAAGGTAGTGGTAATCTGCCTTTATGTGGATGATATGTTGATCATCGGGACCGATCTACAAATAGCAACTTCTATGAAGAAGTTTCTCTTGGCACAATTCAACATGAAAGACCTTAAGAGCTGATGATATGATGCTAGGAATCAAGATTCTAAAAACAAAATATGGCATAGGCTTATCTCAGTCTCATTACATAGAGTATGTGGAAAAAGTATGGATATTTTGAACTACCAGTATCATCTATACCTTATGGCTACAACAAAAAACTTCTAAACAAATACTGGAAGTCCGGTGAAACAAACAGAGTATTCTAAGATTTTCCGGCAGCCTAATGTATGTAATGAGTTGTACAAGACCTGTTATTCCTTTCACACTTGGAATGCTTAGTGGACTCACAAGCAATCTAAGGGGAGCACATTGGGATACGACTAGGACACTAATGCAATATTTGAAGGGTACCTTCAAACTGGGCTTATTCTATTCAGGATATTCTATAGTGCTTGAACGTTTCTCAGATGCTAGTCGGTGCTCGAAGCCAAATGAGTACAGATCGACAGAAGGATTCATTTTCACCCAGGGATGTGCTGATGTCTCATGAAAATCTAAGAAACAAATGGTGATTGCACAGTCTTCTATGAAGTCCCGGTTCTATGCATTAGCTTCTGCAGGAGATGAGTCTGAATTGCTCAACAATCTTCTAATAGATCTTTCGTTGAAAGATTCGCTAGGGGCAACCATCAGTAATTACTGCAACAATCAAGCAAGTGTTGTTGTAGCTAACTCATTGTTCAATTGCAGAAAAACAGACTATTCGTCTGAAGCAAGGTTATCTAAATGATAGGTCATAGAGTCATCTCAGTGATTGACGTTCGATCTTTAGATAATATTGTAGATCCCTTTACTAAATGTCTGACACGAGAGTTAGTTCAAAATACATCTGCCGGAATGGGTTTGAAGTCAATGTAATATTAGTCAATTTATTTACCATGAATTAGATTATTAGTTCAAAGTCTAGCAACTACAATTAAGATTCTTGGTTCAAAAATATATTATACTGCTTGTAATGCACTTTGGGTTTGATGCATTTTACTATCATATGAAAGATTGACTTTCTAAAGCCTTAATAAATCCAAAACACTTCGGGTGCTGAGCCGATAGCACATCTTAAGGATTTACCTATGCAAGGTCAAGTTTTGGCCGACTCCTAAGGAATCTACTGGTAGATCCTAGAACCTTTGCAAAAACAGAGATAATAGCACAGGGCCATTAATGTGCAAAATAATCCCATCATGTGAAAGGTTGTTCATGTAAAGCCTTAATAATTCCAAAGCGCTTCAGTTGTCGAGTACCGATAGGAGCTCACCTTGAGGATTTACCTATGCAAGGTGGGGTTTCGGCGAGGTGGGGTTTCGGCGAATCCTACGGAATCTATTGAGTAGATCCTAGAGCCTTTGTAGAAATTTAGACAAAGCATAGGGTCACTAACATGCTACGAAAGACATGAAAGCTCGTCACAGGTTGGCTATAAAAGGCCTTAATAAATCCAAAATAGTAGGATGCTAGTGGGTACACACATTAAGGATTTACCTATACAAGATATCGTTTAGGCTAACTTCTATGAAATCCGCTAGGTAAATCCTAGAGTTGTAGAAATTAGGATAAAGCACAGGGTCATTAATGTGCTATAAAATAGGAAGGAAAGTGATATCATAGTTCAAAGTTTGGCTACTATGGATAAACACTTATTATGAGTTTATGTGTGATCATTGAAGAGTATGTAAAGTATTGGTTCAAGACTTAGTTCATCATATACTTAACTACTCTTCAATTGATCTAAGTGAGATTCAAGTCCTAGCAACATGTTCGCTAGGCACATGAAACTAAAAGCGACGAAAAGTGAAGTTTGAAATTTGTGGGGGACTGTTAGATTTATTTCTTATTATAAATGAAAGGTTTCAACTTTAATAATCCTCCATAAGATTCGGCTGAAACGTTGGTTTGGGTTTTTTAGTCGTGGGCCATAGATTGTGGTTATCGGGATGAGTTGCAATGGATGCTATTGTTTGCCTCAGAGCTGGGTTTGAGGTAGAATACAATCTTTGGGCTTCTAGATTTAAATGAGCTAATAATTGAATCTAGAACAAGTAAATTCGCTTCATAAATGCAGCAATTAAATCGCTTCATAAATGCAGCAATTTAATTGGATCATAATTGAAGAGGTTTAATAACTTCAAATATTATTGAGCTCATAATGAAGGATGTTAAATATAGTTCTAATGATATTATTAATAAGGGTATTTAGTCCAATAATAATATCATTAGTAAAAACTATTAAATAAAGGGCTATTAAGTGAAGGCTATTAATTACGCCAAAACCTATAAAAGGTGCCTAAATCCTTCATCAGTTCATCCTATACATCAACAAATTCAAAGAGTCCTCTACATAGCCTACAGAATTCTTTGCATATTCCAAATACAAAATTTAGCATTTCCATTTGCAAAGTCTTGTCTATACAAAGAGCTCCTGGTTGGTGCACACCAGAGTGCTCTCTTTGTTGTTCCTGGAACTGGTTCATGCTTGGGATCATGGGCACAGGAGTAGCCGAATAACGCTTTAAGTAGTGCGTGTAAGGACGCACAGCAGCATCATCAAACAAAAGAAATATAAAATATAAAATTCCCTTAGTTTTTGTCCAATTTTCTATCATCTACTCCAACAAGACCGCCTACCACTTCTACCAGGTATAGATATCATTCTCATGAAAAAGAAGCTAAAAATAAAAAATAATTCCAAAAAGAATGGATTAATATTTGTTACTATATAATTTAAATTAATTGTATTTTCTACATATTTTTATTTAACTAGTTAAAGAGTAAAAAGAGAGATTATTTGTTTAACATTTTCCTTCAAAATCTTTTTTCTTAATCCTAACCAAATGCAAAAAGAATCTTATTTCTTTTTCTTTTTGTTTCTTTAATTTTTCTTTTCTTTTTTTTTTCTTTTTTTATTTTTATTTTCATTTGCACTCAAATCAAACACAGTCTAAAGAAAATTTTTGGGTCTTCCTGAAGAATGAGATAGAAGCAGTTGATTCACTGCTCGTTTGTAATTAAAAGGTAGGACAAACCTGTAACGGTTCATTTTCATCAGTGGAACCAAGTATCTCATGAATAAGAACTCTGGCGTTCAGGCAGGAAGTACGATAAGTTAAACATTTCTCGACAACATTAGAAGCAAACTTTTGTTGGCTCATCTTCACTATCTGCCCAGCAAGCTTACTGATAATTGCAGACCGTTCTTCTGGTTTCCCATGTTGCAGTACATGCTGCATTCAAGCAAATTCAACTCTCAAATAAATTGATAGGTGTAAAATGAAAAGATTAAAACCTATGTTTATTCTATAGATTGATTATGGAAGGCATGAAGAACCACAACAAAATGTGCCGCTTAAACATGAAAATATCCTGCACACTCGCATGTCAAATACAAAGAATTTTTCATGAGATCAAACCAACTGTAAGGGCATCCATAAAAAATAAATGAAGAATTGAATGCTTGGGGATGCAGGTAAACTTTCCAACAAGTTACAGCAGAACCACCATGTCAACGCATGATATCTATCAATCAGACATTCAGAGACTTTGCTCAAAAAAAAAAAGAGGTCAAAAATTCACATACTGGACACACAAAAAAGCAGCTTGTAGATCACAGCACACGATTTATCCAACATAAAGGCTAGGATGGAAACATCGAGTACGGCGATGAATAGAAGCTCAATGTTTATGATGTATAATCAAAAGATATGGCTCTTATAGATGAATCATTTTCTTTCATTTAGCTCCATTCAGGTCCGCTCTCTCGGTTAAAGCAACATCTACCTATTACAGCTGATTTCCCATTTTTTTATGGGCCTTTCTCTGATCTATGTTGGTCCATTGACTACATTCATTTCCTATCTAGTTGACACACTAGTTTCCTTTGCACATCTTAAACCATCTTACTTTGTTCTTAGTCATTTTATCCTCCAAGGAAGCTACCTCCTGTAGATGCATTCAATTGTTATCCTATCTGTATGGTATTGCCACTCCCCCTCAACAATGTTGTTTTTAGCTAAACCCAGAAAAAATCGCTAGTCTGTTATAGGCTCAATTGGAAAGATTCCATGTCTTTATCTTGTCTACTTATAGGACTGTCTACTGCACTGGAGAATACTTCTGTACTTTTAAGGACAATACAATTGTTTGCTAAACTTTAAGATTAATGTAATTACAAATAGACCCCAGAGTTATGTAAGCCAGTCAGCTGATAACTCCCAACTGCTTAACAGTTTCAACATTTCTAAGACCCTGAGGCTGAAAATCTAATCTGACATTCTTGCCAGTGTAGACTATCAATTATGATAGTCCAACATTTCGTCTGAGGGGCTGGTGTTATAGGTCTGTTTGTTTATGTATATATCTAATGGATTTGGTATTCTCGTTCATGGTTCCCCATCTTGTTTCTTAATATAGATGAAGTTCTTATTTTGATATTTTGGCCGCAAGAATTAGTATATTCTGTGTGAACCAATCTAAGACATAAAAACTACAAAATGTTGTCACAGAAGAAATGGATTCAGTAGATTCTCCGTGACATATCTATGTCAATGCATTCGCTACTCGAAACTACACCAACAAATACATCATTCTATTGTCCCGCAACGCTAAATGTCCAAACCAAATCAATTGAACGAGTAAATTTGACCCGCACAATACCGCGGCATTAGTGTGCAAATTTTGAAAAATAATGTTTTAGGTATTTAGTTTAAAAATAACAGAGTACTTAAAACACTAAAACAAATATATAGGAAGCTACAATAAAACATAGTAACGAACACCGTCTATTAAACTGCCGAAATATAAATTAGCTCTAAAATTAGTTTGTTGGAGTATGAATTTAAGATTGATTTTGGAAACGTAAGAGTTTAAAAATAAGTTGCATAAAACTTTGTGATTACACACATCAACTTTTTCGGAATCGAATGTGGTTAAAAATGGTCAAAAACATTTATAGGCTAAAACCCACAACATTAGTGTGATAAAGTCAAAATTTAATGATTTAAGAATTTCATTTAAAAATAAACTATTACTTAAGCACTTAGCAAAAATGAAGCAAGTTACAAAAAATATAGCAATTTTCGTCGTATACCCTTGCTCTATACATATACATATATTTAATGACTTGGAACAAAAATATAGAAAGTTACTGCAAAAAAGTGGCGACGTACTGTGTACCTAACTGTTAAAATACAAAATGAGTTTAAAAATAGTTTCGTTTATATTAGCCCCTTAAATCTTTCATATCTGAAATTAATCCCCCGAGGTCATTAAAATTGCTACTTAGTCTCCCAATTCCTAAGTTGTCTTGAAATTAGTTCCTCAAATCAATAAAATTGCTATTAAATCTCCAAATCTTAAGTTTTTCCTCGTAAAATGTTTATATACAATACTAGCTTGAGCAATGAATGTATCCAAGCTGATCACTCAAAAGAAAGGTAGCCAAAAATTATACATATAAATGTCAAAAACTCCTGAATTAAAGAGATTGATTTGAAACAACTTATGAGAATTGGGGTATGTAATAGAAATTTTGATGATTTCAGGGACTAATTTCTCTCTAATTGCTATTTTACTCTTGATTAAAAGGACTAGTTTCAAAATAACTTAAAAGTTGAGGGACATAATAGCGGTTTTTATGATTTGAGGACTAATTTCAAAATAGCAATTTCAACGACTTGAGTTGCTAAAAATATGGAAGATTTAAGGGACTAATATCAAAACCCTTAAAAATAATATAGTGATCAAAAGGAAATTTGTCCCTCAATCCATCAAAAGTTTTTGTTTAATTCCCCAATTCTCATTATTTATTTTAAATTAATCACTGTAATTGATAACCTTACTCTTGATTGGAGGGATAATTTCAAAATATCTTAAGAAATAGGGATCCAATAGCAATTTCAATGATTTGAGGGGCTAATTTCAAAACAACTTCAGAATAAGGCGTTCCAATAGCAATTTCAGTGATTTGAGAGACTGATTTTAAAATATGAAAGATGTAAGAGACTAATATCGAAAAAATCCTTTTTTCTAATAAATGGGTAGGTTTTAGAATAGATGAAGTTAACTTTGGGTATACATGAAAAAGAGACTAATATGGGGACCTAATAGCAATTTCAATCTCATTGATTTGAGGGATTAATTTTAAAATATGAAAGATTTGAATAGCCAAAAAAACATTTTCTAATAAATAGGAGGGTTTTTAAATAAATGAGGTTAAATCTTGTGTAGAAGAATAATAATGCTCTGAGAGATTCGAACCCACAACCCGCTGTTGTAAAAAGTAAACCTGTTACCATTATGCTACATTATCTTTATCACTTCCATTCGAAATTTGGTTTTTCTAACAAGTGTGTGAGTTTAAAATAAACGAAGCTAACTTCGGTTGTCCATGAAAAAGAGACTAATATGGGGATTAATAGCAATTTCAATCTCATTGATTTGAGGGACTAATTTTAAAACATGAAAGATTTAAAATAAATGAGGTTAAATCTTGAGTGTAGAAGAATAATAATGCTCTGCGGAGATTCAAACCTGCCACCTGCTATTGTAAAAAGTAAAACTGTTACCGTTGTGCTACATTGTCTTTATCACTTCCATTCGAAATTTTTATTTTATCTTAAGCATTACTGTTCATTACCACAGAACCTACAGTATTAACCCAATTGTTTTAGTATATAGATAAATAAGAAATTCAGGACCAAGACATAAGCAGAAAATAGACCAAAAAGTAGAGAATATGGAGAAATTAACATGTTAAAAACAGCTAAGACGAGACAATGCCATTACAATGAAGAAAAGAATTGATTAAAACCAGAATGAATAACGTTGAACGAATAACATACTTGAATCACATAATTTCCATACTGATCCTGAGCCAAAATACACACGGATCGCATAATTTCATCCATCATAATGCTTTGTGTTTTCAGATCATCGCAGTGCTCCAAGACCCTCTGCCAGAACATAGAGAATCCATATTAGCAATGACATAATTATCTACAAATATATTATCAATCAAATTAAAGAGCCAACATAGATCTGGTACACATCCAGGCAGTAAACTAGAACCTGTATAACTCTACAACCATAGGGGTGGGAAGAGAGTGCCACAACTTGTCCATAAAAGGCAGATATAATAAACTGGATCCTTTCTTGAGGTACGCACTCAATGCACTTCTGGATTACATGATTGCCATTCTGATCACGAACACATTTCATGATTGAACCATCAAGTTCAGAAACCATCTGTGTCTGCTGATCAACATCAACTACTTCCAAGGCCTACAGAAATGCCAGATCTCTCTTCAAAAACCTTAAGTCGAAACACAAATTAAGATGTCCAAGAATGTGACTAATATTACGACTAAGTAGGCAAAACAAGGCAAGACAGACAGCAATTAGCAAAATATAGAAAGACAGGAAACAGTTTGACCCATAAATAAGTAAATTATTCATACTGACAATAGCTTTAAAAAGATGACGGATACTGGACTTCGCTTCAAGCTACTAAAAGAGTGAGATGTTATGAATAATAATAATAATTCAATCCAAGTCAAATAAAGAGATGTCAATCAACTCTGACATATTGATATTTATCTAAAGAAACAGGTTGGGAGAGTTGTATAAAGTGTAGCAAAGGAAACAACAGGAATTGTTCACAAACAGGATGAAAACATCAACTGATAACTTTGTGGTACACAATAGTTAACAACCATTGACTTCTGTAAATGTCGGCAGTAAGTTCTCCATAGCGGGAACATTCACGGTACAACATAAATGCCATAAATAACAACAATCGAACTCTATGGAAATTATTTAGGTACACACGGTGAACATTTTCATCATCTAAGGAGGGAAACAAAGGTCGAAGTGAGTACACTTAAAAATTCAAACCCCGGCAGAAGGGCACCTGTGTGCACATCCATTTTCTCAAAAGTCAAAACCATACAAAAGTAGTCTAATTTTAAGCATGCCAGCTAAATAAGCTACCATGCTTCCTTAAGAGGCCACAAGCTCTAGGTGCTTAAGAAAACTACAACTATTTAACTAGGAAAAAGCCAATAAATTTTACTTAACAGAGCGAATTCATGATAATTGATGATTAAAATGTCCAACAACAGAAACCTCCTTTTCCAATTTCAGAAAGAAGATTGCATAAATTATATCAAGCTCTTGAAATGCAACAAAAATACTCAGAATTTTCCTAAGCACCCCAAAGGATGAAGATCCAATGTCTTATTACCATGTTTAGCAAAATAATTTTCTGGCAGAGCTCGCCCCAGATCTATGTTGAATATTACAACTTCATACTCCTGTCACATCAATCCACATCTTATTCAACCTAAAGATAATCAATCCATTAACACATCCAGGTAACCACCGGCCCAACCAAACTATCAATCGACATATTTGACGGTTCTTGTTTACAGTAAACAGTTCTCAATAATTCATCAGCCCTAGCAGATCCGTTCCATTAGTGGGTAACCAGAAGCTATGAGGACAAACGTCAATTTATTAACTCTTCATACCCTGAATTGTTTCATGATATAGGCAGCAGACTTACATCTGGATTTTAGGTACTGGCCATACTGTGTAGTGTACACAACAAAGAGAAGTACTTACAACTAACCTGGTTTCAATAGTGATTCATTTGATTGAATACATGGCACCTGCAATGCACTGATTCTCATCTAAAAGGGCCGCATACCAGATATCCCACATATTTGATATGGATACATATTGGTACACATGGGACGGGTTCATACCGTATGAATCTATGCTTGGTTAAAACTTAATCCATGCTACCAATACTTATCTCTTTAGTAATGGATACACAGCTTATGTCTCATAGTTATTTGATTGGATTTTTTACTATACCCAATTCTAGTGCAACAAAATTTAATGGGTTTCAAGATTTCTCCTCTTTAATCAAGTGATCTACACTCCCTCTCTTCTAACCTTCAACCCCAATCAGAAGAATTATGGTAGTCAAGAATGGTGGAAGACAATATCCAACATACGGGATAGCATAAACAAAGACAATTATGGTGGCCGGGAAATGATGTATAATCTTATGCCTTGGCTGATTTAACATTATACAAATGTATACATAAATGTTACTGATTGGCAAAGAGCAGATTTTAATTGGTGTCTATTGTGCAAAATTTCAGATTATCATAATAATCATATGCTTTGTGCTTTACTAGTGTTAAGCTTAAATTTTGATTTCTACCTTAGCAATTAAGAAGTCACTATTTCTATGTTTATGATATTCCCCTCCGTGGATAATAAAATGCAAATATGTAAGGTGTAATTTCCAACACTTCTATATCCTTAGGATTTTATGGATTTGTTGTCTAAAAAACAGTGTAGAGAGCAGAGATTTTACTTTCGTCGACTGAAATGTTAGAATTTTGCTTTATTTTACTTTATTACATGGATATAAACTTCCATATCCACAGAAAATATGTATCCATGATTCTTTGAGATATTGAGTGATGAATCCACATATCCATAGAGCTCAAATAACAGATAATTGTATACCTATTGGTGGAGCATAGAATGTTAAAGATGAATAGATGTAAATAACAGACCAAAACATATGAACAGACCTTTTGAATTACTCTGCAGCCATACATCTGAAGACTGAGAGGCAAAACATGGCCCATAAGTTGACTGGCAAGCTGGTTTCTGTGGATTTCTGTACCATGCTCAAAGAACTGCCAATTCAAGTGTTTGTGTAAGTTCTTAGCATTCTCATGATTTATTTTCTAACCTGCTGGAATGAATAGAACATTACATACTTTCTGTATGACGTAATTCCCAAAGACATCAGTCATCAGAACGCGAGCATGGGCAAGGATCTCCGGGAACAATTTATTCTTTTCCTCAATTGAAGCAGTTTCCAGTTTTTGTTGAATAAAGCGGCTTCCATATTGATCACCACTGCATTAGGGAAGAGGAAATAATAGATCAATTAATCTTTAGATTAGACTTGAATACTGGAAAATATTTAAGGGTTTCTATGATATAAGACCACAAATCTTCTTTATTTCTATAGAAACCCAACTCTTGGTATTTCTAGATAAGACACCCCAATTCCTTTTAAGTTGTTTCAAAAAGGATCCCATGAAGGATTCTATCCAAATTCTTTACCTAAGCATGATTAACTCTTAAGAATATAGATTGAATAACTATAACAACAATAGGAACCCCACTTCATTGTCCCTCTACCTTTGTCTTCCTAAATCACGTCTCGTTTTGCTATTTTTCCCAATATCTCTCTATTTTCCTATCAAAATCTCAAACCTTAACACCTCATTTGGTAGAGGAATCAAGCCAAGTGAGAATGGAATGTAATAAATGTAGACTATGTAGTAATGGAATGCTCATTTCCATTCTCACATTTGTGTGACCATTAGGGAATCATGATGTTTTTGGATTTTTTGATTCTCAGTTAAGGGGAAAGCCCATTCCTTAGCAACTCGAACGGAATGCCCATTCCCTAGCAACTTAAGTGGGAATGCTTACTTAAGTGGAAATGACCATTTCAGCTTCAAAATACATGTCATGTTTGGTACACTAGAACAGCCAGTCGAATGGGCTTTCAATTCCACCTCATTCCCACGCACCACACAAGGCATAATATGCTTTAAGAACCTAAAAAGAAAAGGTACAGATCGAAGGGGAAAGATGAAGGGAGACAGACAACGGGCGTAAGGAGTTTGAGAGAGAGAAGTTGGGGAAGAACTCAACCCATTAAAATGGGATAAAATGGTCTATTAAAGTAAAATCCCTAACTGTACCAGAGAAATTTACAAAATTAGTTTTTTTGGGAGGCCGGTTTTTGGGCGGGGGGGTGGGGGGGGCCGTGAAGGATTTGGCGGGTCTTATCTATCACTAAAACCGAACATTTCCACCAAATGCATAGAGATATTCATAATCATAGCTGCAAAAAAACATAAAGATTATTGGTATACAAAAAAGCATTCAAAAGCCAAAAGAAAATGTACAGTAACTGGAAGGAGACCTACTGTAGGTTTTGATTGGCAAGAGAATGACCTATAACTCTTCATGACTACATGTCAAGAAAAAAATCAATAACAGTAAATTTTGTAGTTATTCTGTCAGAAATCTTGCGCAACCAAACCGGTCGAGGCAAAATTTATTTAGTCTATTTTATGTTACTATCAAGGATCACAAAAAAAACTTGGCACTCGAAACTAGAAGAAGATGTTATTAATTTAAGAAAAGCATTGGAAAAATCAAATGACTATGCATGACTACTGGAGGTTCGTAACTGTGGGTTTACCCTGGACAACAAGGCTTTAAGCAGAGCAAAATGTTAACGAATATGGTAGTTACTTCTTAGGAAATTCGTGAGCAACCAAAATGATCAAACATGAGTTATTTTATTTCATATTACTTGCAAAACCATTACTAAAATACCTGAATTCAACCACATGATCTGCAATTTCAGATAGTTCAAATGATCTGGTTTTGTTGGTTTTGAATTCTTCCAGCAAAGTTGACGCAAAACCTTGTTCCATTATGCCATTTACATGGTTCCATGATCCTTTAGATCCTCCAGCCCCACTCCTAAATGAAGAAGGTAACCGTGACAACTGTTCCTTATGCCTTAGTGGACTTCCAGGAACCAGTGCTGGATATGGCATGTGAAGACCAAGAGCAGAATTCCCATAGAAGCCATTGTTTAAAGAACTGGATTTGCCTAAGTAGGGCCCATCATAAGGCAGACGCTGCTGTGCAAGCAATACTTCAAGATATGCTTTGTTGTAATCCGAGATATCCATGCGATTAGTACCAAGGTAGCTCCTCCCTAAAGCAGGATCATTCAGGTCTGTAGTATAATCAGAAGCTCTCTGCAGATACTGTGCATAAAATGGGTCAACAACTGGTGTCTGAAAAGCAGCTCCTGGTCGATTTCCAGTTCTGAAAATATATTTTCCTTCTGAACCAGTTGCCATACCACCACCTGTCCAAATAAACAATGAGAAAATGAAATATGGTGTAGTAGGATAAAAGGTCTGCCAGCAAATTTAATATGAAACGTAATAGATAATCATAACACACCTTCATCAAGCTGACTGTTAAACATTGCCGGCAACATCTGAAGTGTGTTTGAATTGCGTCCAACAAAGTCACTGTTTGCAACATCAGTAAGATACTGACCACCAGATCCTGCCAAGCTACTCTTGGATAGATTCATTGGAGATGATTTTTCTTGCAAGCTGACTTTTCCATTAGAAGCTAATGCAGATAGACCAAGATCACTGGGAACACCATTATTCTTTGAAAACCCATTTTGTGCCAGAAAAGGGACAGGACCATGGTGAGACTCAGATTCAGGCTTAAGCTTCTGCTGCAAATACTTGTTTCGGCCATTATGCATATTATATAGCCCTTCTGGTTGATCAGTGAAATCGTGCTGAAGCTGGTTCGGGGCATAGTTCTCCCCATGTCCTTTCATATTATGTGAAAGACTTAAGCCAGATAGGGCAACTGCTATATCACCAGAATCATCCATGTGAGAAGCAGCACCACCAAAGCCATTTGAAACAATCTTCTTTTGAGCATCGATCAATCTTTCCCCAATAGGAAGAGGGCATGGGCTTGAGGACCTTTCCATCAAATGAGGTTCTGGTGTTGTACTTCTGGATAAAGAGGAACCAACAGCTGCCGCGAAGGACTGTGACCTAAGCAGTCCTGGAGATGCTTCTCCAGAACATAAGCCACCAACCAAACCCATGCCATTATGTGGCAGCTGGACATCAGAAAGCCTGTTCACATCATTAGAACTGGCATAAGCATTGCGATTAACTGGGCGAGGAGGATGTGGAGATATTGAAGGCAAATTGACGAGGTCTTCCTGCGAATAAAAACCAATTTGTCTCAGTAACTGACATAAAACATTTTTTAAGATCTAAAGTGGCGCCAACTTAATGCAAAGATAAAATGGAGCAGTGTTAACCCACCAACAAAGAACCTAAGTAGAGAGCGTTAAATCTCAAGGGATAGATAAAACAGTAGAAGATGTTCATGTAGTATGTAAGAAATATTGGAAGAAATTTATCAAATATGGGAATACAGGAACAATTTTCCCATAAATATATGAATACATATCAATCAAAAACATAAATCTGTGCAGATGAATGAATGAGAAATGAATACATATCAATCAAAAACATAAATATGTGAAAATGAATGAATGAGAGGAGTCACCATACAAATTTCAGTATGTAGATTTATGCAAAAATAACAAGCACATTAGCTGCAAAGTACATTTAATGAGGTATTGATGCCACATAAATCTCTGGAGATGTACAGTAGGGAACATGTAAACTTCTACGTATAAGAATTTATGCAAGAATGCAAAATACAATGGAATTAACAGTGATCATTGCATATTAAAAGGAAAAAAATTAACAATTAGCTTCAAGAACTCAGACCAGCTGTAGGATACATGGCATAACATTCCACCAAAGGAAGGTTTCCCGATCACAAAGATATGTGGCATACATGAAGCATAGACACGGAGACAGTGTATGGGCACAGCACAATATGAACATGGGTACATGGATAGTTTTGAAGATAGGGACACAGGTAGAACATGAATATGACAATAGTATAGATAAATATAAGAGCATAAATTTGCACTGAACACAATATGACTACATAGGTTTGAAAAATCTACAAAACTGAAAGATATTGATACATCGTAAATGAGATAAAAGCAAAATCGAATAAAGAAAACTGGATCCGTTATATGAACAATCATATTTCTCTAACTATATAAATGTAATGCATCATAAATCAAATAGAAATGTGGACACATCATTCATATATTTAATTTTTAAACTTTTTAATGTAAAATGCATGATTCAACTATATTAAATCTAAGACACGTTTAGAATATGTTGCAAATTATAGGACATGTCAAATGGAGTATTCCATACGTATAGTCAAGTATTCAAATTTCCAAGTACTAGATAGGTAATGGATACAGGAACATCTCCTCCAAAGTTTGGGTGATACATAGCATGCCTTACTGTACAATCACAACAAGTTTTCCCTTCTTCCTTGTTCTGGGAGAGCCTGCTTGTCAAATCTGTTTTGCTTACCCTTCATACCTATTGCCTGTGGGTCATCAATTTTCATCCTACCAAAAAAAGCCCTCAATGAGGTTGAAGCTATCAGTAGAAAACTTCTGTGGCGTGGTGTGGAGAATAGCAAAAGGATTCCACTTGTTGCTCGGTATACTCTTATGCAAGGTTTTAAATATTGGTTATCAAGAATTTATCAGACAATCAAAATCCATATCAGATAGCGGATATCGATGATATATCAGAGATAAATAGTATTTATCGGAGCGACATTACCGAATGGTGATATACATAATATAACATTCTAAAAAGTGATCTAACCATACTTAATGAAATATAAACATACCAAATGTAAATAATTATGTTTAGGATCATTAGCTAATGGTAGAAACTCGGGTCGGGTCGAGTTATGTTTAAAGTGCATTGAATATGTGCCAGTTGCCCAAAATCAAAACTCAAACAAAAGGCCAATAATTCTGATTTTTTGGGTCGACAATATCGGCCGATAACTCACTTTATCGCTGCATTATCGGCGATAAACATCTAAAAACGATAACAAATTCAGAATCGAATTTATCATGGCGGAAGGCCCCCAAAACCGATAAATCGCCGATAATATCGGTTTATCGGCCGATATTTAAAACATTGTTCTTATGTTTGCCTAAAGCATCAGGCGGCTTGGATTTTCATGATGTTAGGTGAGCTAATGTCGCCTTAGTGTGGAAACTTCTTTTGGTACTTCCACTGAAAGCTGATTTCCTCTAGCTTATGCGGATCCATGGGGTTATGTAAAGGATGACAGCATTTGGACTCTGTGTATAAAACAATCTTTCTCTTGTAGATTGAAGTCTAGACTGAAGCTCATGCAAAAAGTAGACCATTTGGCGATGGCCAATGATGAAAATACCAGTTGTACAGGGCCAGGTCCATCTTTTAGCTCAAAAGGAGCCTGCATTGCTCTTCTCCCTCTCAAAGAGTTTCGTGGAGGAAACTAGTTTGGAGCAAAATGACTCCCCCAAACATTCTTTTATTTTCTGTTGGTGTCATAATAAATTCTCACTAGAATGAATCTTAGAAAGAGGGGTATGGACATATCTTCTACTTGTCCTCTTCGTGAAAAATATGATGAAACAATAGATCATCTATTCTTGGAATGGGATTTTAGTAGGAAACTTTGGTGCCTTGTTTCCAATTATATACATATAAAGAATGTTCCTTCGAAGTGGGATATCTTTCAGAAATAGTGCAGAAGTGGAGTTATTGCTCAATTTAATTCAGTTTCTATTGCCGCTGGCATATACCATGTGTGAAAAGCCAGAAATGACTTTCATTTTTAGGAGTATCAACCAAATGTTGACGAGTTGATGCTACAGATCAAAATTATTTTGAAGATTCAGCTGAGTGGTGCCTCAAACATGGAAGACTCTTTGAACAACAGAAGATGGTGTTCTCAGTTCTACATCCACCCTTTCTTTGATAACAAAAGTTGAGTTTTTGGCAGTTTGGATGAATGCAAATTGAAGTTTTATGTGTACATAGAGTAGGAGTTTTTGTACTTCAATACTTTACTTGTAAGTATCAGTTTTGAACTGCCCTCTTGGAATCTGTAACTTATAACTTTTGTATTGAACAAACTTACCTTTCATACAAAAAAAATTAAAAAAAAAATTAAAATTAAAATTAAAAAAAAAATTAAAAATTAAAAAATTAAAAAATAAAAACCATTGTAAAGAGCTGTGATTGTAAGAGTTCACATTGAAAAAAGGTAGGATTGTAAGAAATCAGATTGCAAGAGTTCACATTGAAAAGAGGTAGGATTGTATGAGATTAGATTTGACAAAGGATACATTGCATAAAATACTACGAGCAGGACTTTCCCATTATGTCTTCTATGAGTAGAAAGCATGAACCAGCAAGTGTAAACCGATATAGTCATTGTTTCCTTGTGCTGGTGCTTTGTGTGAATCGTTCTTTCAAGCTTCATTTTGCTGGCTGAGATGGTCCAAGGAGTTTTAGGATTCATGGTTTTATGTACTAGCTTATGTTGTGAAAGTGGTAAATACCAACCAACCTAATTCTACCTTTTCGTCCTACCAGATTGGCTTTGAGACATAATGTCCCTTGCCTTCACGAAATGTGATGTAAATTTATACAAAATTATTGGAGTTTATTAATCATGCACTCTTAAAGATCTACAGCCCCTCCGCAGTCCATGAATTATACCAGGGTCCATCAAATAACATTAACTAATTCTTGGATCAGACACCAGCCATCTTTTGTGTCTGTCACTAACTTAGAGATTAAAAAGTTGACCAAACATATAGAAGACAACTTAAGCTATTCGCAATGAAGTCACCTAAATATGAAGAACCACCATTCCCGCTCTTAACAAACGAACGAAAAATGGAAAGAAAAAAAAAACTAAGAAACAGAAACACAACCATGATGTCAACCTGATAGCAATAATCTCCATAAAAGTGAAACCTAAGGAAAATCTATCCAACAAACAGACTACAACTGAAGTTTGTCAAGCTTTCCGTACATTAAACTGATCGATGTTTAGAGAGTTTAGAATTACCTAGACCATGCTTAAATTGATGGTTAAGGTTATTGCTCATTCTTAAACAAAGGACTCTATTTTTTTCAAAAGCAGATTACTTCATTCTTTTAGCCAATGCTCGAGGTTGAATATCAGGTACATTCCATAACGTGCACGACATCTTGCTTTTGAGAGTCAGCAATGGTCTTCATCATAAACTGGCATAGAATCATATTAAAGCCAATGCTCATGATTATCAGCAGCGACAATCTTCGGTCTTTGATATCCACATCTTCTTTGTCAGAGTGCCAACAACAATCTTCAAGATAAATCACCTCATAATCATGCTATTACTAGAAGTGGTAACTAACTTCCTGGCAAGGTTTGCACCAAGAATGAGCAAAAGATTTTCTGACATGAGAAAAAATAACCATTCAAAAGACTGTATAGCATTATGTTCCCGGACTTTTCTCATTCAATTCATTCAGAGAAATCATATCACTCTGTTTTGCTATGTTTTGCACCTCATTTCCCTATCAAAAGATATTTCATAAAGTCTGGAAGAATCCATGGAAACATTGAACAAATTTATTGACCTTTAGAGAGTTGATACCAACTCCTAGTTAGTTGGTTAAAGTTAGGAATAGGCAAGGAACATGTATACAATAAACATGTTAGGCAAGTAAGGCACATCACTGCACATCACTGAGAGACATAACTGCCTTTGTCGGACTGACAGATACATTTCAGTAGGACTAGTGTTAGGTACTTCTCATTCAGAAGTCTTATGTGTACACCTTTGGCCTTTTCCTTTCAATAACAAAGGCACATCTTGCAAAGGGGATGGCATTCTATTCTTCACTACATGAGAGATTAACACCAAGGTCTGTAGTATTGAACTATATCAGTATGTAATGGCCATACAATATCGGATTTTATGTATGTCTATTTGGTCCAACCAATAATTACAACTACTATTGGCCAATAGCAATTGAAGAAAAGGTTAAGAAATGAAGTACCAAAAATCTTGGGTGGAAAAAATCAATTAATTGAATAGAAAGCTCGTGACTAGATTCTGATTTATTTCAGCTTTGATGATAAATTCTTATCCAAATTCAAAAATTGTCAAAATTGCCAAAACATTAAAAAAATCATTGAAACACCTCACTACTGATACCAATAAAGGTGAAAGGAAATCAAAAACGCCATGAAGAATTCAAATTCGCCAACTAATTAGAACTAGACTCAATTTCAGCCAAAATCAAAACGTTTTACAGAATGCTAAATCACCACATAGTGCAGCCTCCTTACAAAGGCACTACTAAATTAACCATTTCCACAACAACGACACCACTGCTCAATATCACTAGCCAATTGATGCTAAAAAAAATACAACCCCATCAAGGAACATGTAAAACATACTATGATTATTTTGAGTAGGAAGTCATACACCCACATATCGAACATGGCTATGTTCATATTTAATGTGTTTGACTACTTCTTCATGCAAGAGAAACTTGTAAAGGTAAAAATAATAATTTATGACTTCTATTCTCAAAATGGTGACCTATTACTATAAACTAAAACAGTTTTTTTAGTTTTTATTATAAATTATATTATCTTTTCTGGAAAAATGCCCTCTCTCGAATTCTTGTGCATTACACTGGTAACAAACTAGTGATAATAGTACAGATACATGCTACTCAAAAGGCTAGGTTTGAGCATCTTTCTTATCATTGATAACAACTATAATACCAATATATCTATCAAAAACCAAGTAGCAATATAAAAAAAAAATAAAACTGCCCAAAAGATTATATTTATCACCTGAATAACATCTGCAAAGCTCTTCCTCCTCGTCCCCAACCCGGCATCCCCCAACCCAATCAGCCCACCATTACCCCACTCCTCCTCCTTCAACCCTCTCCCCCCATCATCGCCCCTCGGCAACCCAGGCTGCACCGAAAACAAGGATCCCCCGCCTCCATTAGTCCTCCTGTCACCAATCGCCGATTTCGCCGTCCTAAACCTCTGAGCCACTCTCCAATCCTCTCTCGACACAAGTGGCGGCGGCATCCTAGGGTTCGCCGTCCTAAACCTCTGAGCCACTCTCCAATCCTCTCTCGACACAAGTGGCGGCGGCATCCTAGGGTTCAAGATATCATTCCCATAATAATACGACAAGTAATCAGGATGAGCCCTCATCTCCTCGTCAGAGAGGACCAAGCTCTGCATCGCAATCCTCGAGCCCTCGACAGTCGGCGGAGCGCTGCCGCTTCGGAAAATGTTGAGATCCCGCTCTCGATCCAGAGCCGCAGCTCTGCTGTTGTTCTGTTCGCTGAGTAGAGCTTCGAGTTCCTTCTCGAAGTCATCGAAATTGGACGAGTTCTCCGTGATCATTGTTGGAGACCTAGGGTTTGAGGCTCATAGAAATTTTCTAAGGTTTGAGGTTTTTTTTTTCTAGGGTTTGTATGATTGATTCTAGGGTTTGTTGAGAAAAATCGCGTCTTTTGATTGGGGGGGTTAAGGGAGAGATGAGAGTGGCGCAAGCGAGGGCGAGGGGGTGGAAACGGGAGCGTGAACGGGTAAGCTTCGTTTGGTTGATTTGGACCGTTGGATTAGATTTGAACGGTTGAGATTGTTGTATTAGGTTTTGGACGGGTAAAACTGTAACCGAGGGTAATTATGGGTAGGTATATCGAGCTGCGTAAGTTCTAGAGAAACTTTTCATACGGCTTAATTGCACCTAAACACCCTATACTTTCTCCTACCTTGCACTTATATACCTTACTTGTTTTTGACGGCCGTTATTTATCCTGAAGTTATTAATAGCCTGGTTACGCAAATGTGAGAATTTCCTCGAAAATTAGCATTCCACACTCACGCACATGCTAAATTTAGGACATTTTAACTTTTAATATCCGTTAAATTTAATGTTATACCCAGGGCCGGCGTTGGGGGTGTTCAAAGTGAGCCCCCGCACTGGGCTCCCAATTTTTTGGGGCCCCCAATTTTTTTATAATTATATTTATATATATAAAGAAATAAATGTGGACCGTCCATTTCACACCCAGCTTAATCTCAACCCTCTGTTCAAAAATCCTCTTTCAAAAACACATCAGCCTCACCCCTACCCATCTTCTTCACCTATTCTTCTCCGGCTCTTCGACTCCACCGCGGCACCGCCCGAGGCCGAGGCGGCGAGGCCAGCCCCAAATCGTCGTCAGCCTCCATCCTCTCTCCGCCCTCAGCGGCTCAGCTCAGGCTGCTCTGCTCAACCTTAGACCCGAAATCGCCACCAGCACCAAAATCGTCGACTTCGGTTCGGAATCGGAGTTGTTCGGAGCTCACCGACGCCGCGGTCTCTCGACTCTCGCCTAAGCTCTCTCATCTCCTCTTTTCGCGTATGATTCCTTTGTTTTTTTTATTTTTTATAATTTTTTCTGTTGTGATTTTAGGGTTTTGTTGCTGATTTGAGATTTGATTTCTTGTATTGCAGGAGATCCAAACGGGTCTTACATTTTCGGTGCTGCCGTTGCCGTAGGGCCGTGCTGCCGCTTTGTATTGTTTAGCCGGAGCCGGAGCTGTTCAACAGGTTGTATTGTTCCGAATCTTTTGACTTCTTTCAATTTGATTGTGATATTTTTTGTTTTATTATAGAAATGCCTCCAAGAAAATATCCATCTGGATATGATAAACGCAAAAAAAAAAATTGAACAATTTGTCCAAACTCAAAGTGGAGCGCTTGATAAATTCATTATTAGAGAAACACAAGATTTAGTTAAAAATTCAATTGAAAATGATAACATTAATGATTTGGGCCTGAATGAGTATGAGAATGAAAATGATGATGATCAAAGTAAAAATAAAAATGATAATGAAAATGAGAACCAAAATGAAAATGAGATTCATAATAAAAATAAAAATGATAATGAAAATGAGTATCAGAATAAAAATGAAAATGAAAGTAAAAATGAGAATCAGAATAAGAATGAAATTGATATTGACAATAAAAACGAAAATGAGAATAAAAATATTTTAGGCAATGAACAATCTAATGAGTCCATGCTAATGAATTTGAATATTTATGATCCAAGAACTTGGGATAATTTGGACACAAAATCTAGAGATATATTAGTGGAAAATGGCCATATAAGAGATCTATTAGTCAAAAAAGGTCCGAAAGATAAATTAGGAAGGTGTTTTTTCTTGGCATTTGACACTAGACATTTATTAAATGGAGAGAAATACAATAGGGAATGGTTAGTTTATTCAAATGATATTGATAAAGTATTCTGTTTTTGTTGTAAATTGTTTAAAAATGGTTTTAAGAAAAAAAAATTAATAAATGAAGGATTTAATGATTGGATACATCTTAGTGCTAGGCTTAAAGAACATGAAACAACTAATGAGCACATGTTTAACATGAGTACTTGGCTTGATTTACGCATAAGATTAAAGAAAAACAAAACAATCGATAAAAATATTCAAGAGCAAATTAATAAAGAGAATGAATATTGGAAGAAAGTATTACAAAGAATAATTTCTATTGTTAAATATCTTGCTAAACATAACTTGGCATTTCGAGGAACAAATGAGAGAATTTATCAAAATAATAATGGAAATTTTTTAGGCCTAATTGAAATGATTGCAAAATAGGATCTAGTAATGCAAGAACATGTTCGACGTATTGACCATGGTGAAATTCATTATCATTATCTTGGTCATAGCATTCAAAATGAATTAATAAGTATGTTAGCTTCTAAAATCAAATGTGCAATAGTTCAAAAAATTAAAGAAGCTAAATATTTTTCAGTAATACTTGATTGTACTCCGGATGCAAGTCACCAAGAACAAATGACCTTAATATTACGATGTGTCGATATTTCTACAAGCCCGATAAAAATAGAAGAATTTTTTGTAGAATTTTTAAAAGTAAATGATACATCTGGACAAGGACTTTTTGAAGAATTGTAAAATGTGCTAAAAACTCTTAATCTTGATATTGATAATGTACGAGATCAAGGGTATGATAACGGGTCTAATATGAAAGGGAGACACCAAGGTGTAAAAAAAAATTACTTGATATTAATCCTAGAGCATTATACACGCCTTGTAGTTGTCATAGTCTTAATTTAACACTTTGTGATATGGCAAATTATTGTGATAAAGCAAAAGATTTTTTTGGAGTGATGCAATGCATTTATATATTATTTTCTCACTCAACAAAGCGATGGCAAATTTTGATAAATAATGTAAAAGGTTTAACTGTGAAGCCATTATCGGATACACGTTAGGAAAGCCATATTAAAAGCATTAAAGCAATTAGATTCCAAACACTTGAAATAAGAGAAGTACTACTTCAGTTAAAAGAAACTGATAATGACTCCGAGATAAGGAGTGAAGCGGATTCTTTAGCAACACATGGAATTGGAAATTTTGAATTTTTATTAAGTATGATTATTTGGTATGATATATTGTTTGCTGTTAACTTAATTAGAAAATCTTTACAATCTAAAGACATGCTTATTGATAATGCTATAGATCAAATAAAAGAATTGATTAGGTTTTTTGAGGATTATAGAGAAGTTTGGCTCACACAAGCTATGTCAATTGTTAAAGAAATTGGCACTGAAATGGAAATTGATTCTATATTTCAAGTAAAACGTCAAATCCGTAGAAAAAAACAATTTGATCAGAATGTTAATGAGGAGACAACACAATCAGCTGAAGAATCTTTTAGAATTAATTATTTTTTGTATATTGTAGATCAAGCTATTGGTTCACTAAAGAAAAGGTTTGAGCAATATAAAGCATATGAAGATATTTTTGGATTTTTGTTTGGTTCAGAAAAGTTAAATTCATTAGATGATAATAAATTGAAAGCATGTTGTGATAATCTTGAAATTGTTCCAACATATAAAACATTTTCTGATCTTGATGGGAAAGAATTATTTGGAGAACTAAAAATCTTATGAAATATTTTACCAAAAGAAACAAAGATGGCTATTGATATACTGAATTTCTTAAAAATACGAAATTGTTTTTCAAATGCATGTATTGCTTATAGAATATTATTGACTATACCTATTGTTGGCCTTCTTATTTTGATGATGATTTACAAACAATTTACTACTAATATTGTTTGTCTAGTGTTTGCGTTTTCTTATTTATTGTAGACAAACAATATGTTAGAGGATGGATGGAATCAAGCTTTCACGATCATATCCAATGGAGGTTGGAGGAATTGTGGAGTGAAGCATCGTACAATTCAAGTTCAAGATCCAAGTTTAGCTTCATCCGCAACGTGTACCAAGTCAAGCTTATTAAAGATCAAGATCGGCTTGGGTAATTTAGTTTAGGTTTTATATATTATGTGTGTTAGATACTCTAAGCTCAATATCATATACACACACATTTTATTGGTTTCCTTGTATATATATATAGTCATATATATATACATAAGTTTTGGTTTCTACGCATATGTATAGTTATATATATACATACATAGTTTTTGAGTTTTCATGTTTATAAATATGAAATCACATGTTTCATATTTATTATTGTGTTTTAGTATATATTGCATAGAATATGAAATTTTGTGAAAATATTGTATTCTTAGTTTTTGGACTTAACAATAATCATATACATATTTTATTAAGTCTATATAATCATTGTGCAAAGTTTTAAAACATGGTTTAGCCTAAATGTCAAATTTCATATGTTTACATTTTTCGTGTTTTGGATTATTTTGTAAAATGATGATTTTTCACAAATAGGAAATGCAATTTGGAAAATTCTTTTTGTAACATGTTCATTTACATGTTTATATACATTTCCCAAAGTTTCATTATTTTTGGACTTCATTTGTTATTTTTAACAATTTTCCAAAAGTCTCTAAATCAGCTTTTAAAATCTAGTTTTCTGTAGTATCAGATTTCGGTCGACCGCACCGGTCGACCGCTCATATGTTCAGTCGACAGTAGGCAGCAGAGAGTTTGTCGGTCGACCGGTGCGGTCGACCGAGAGCTCGATATTTCCATTGGTCGACCGCATCGGTCAGTAATTTGGTTTTTTTTGTTGCTCGCGGTCGCCCACCGCGGTCGACCGCCGAACTATGACATCAGCTCTAACGGGTAGTTTTCCAGCCGTTGCTGATCTGGTTTTTTGGTTTTTTCTTGGCTTTCTCTTGGCTTTGGGGTTTCTATAAATACCCCCCTTACCTCAGTTTTTACATAACAACAAGAGAATGTTTTAAAGAGTTTTAAAAAGAGTTTAAGCTTGTTTTAAGCTTGTTTAAGGGTTTGGTTTAAAGCTGTTTTGGTTTTCACAAGTGGAGGAGATTATCTTCTTGTTTGGGCTTCAATCTCCATCTCTTCATCTTGTCATATATTGAGAAGTTTTCTAAACTCTACTCTAGCTTTTATTTATTAATCATTTCTATTAAAGCTAGTTTTATATTGAGTTTAGATTTGATTTTATCTCATTGTTACACACACCCACTTGAGCTTATTGTATTTGCATTCATAATATAGTTGGGTTGGTGAGAGTTGTAACATTGAGTGTGAGCTTTCATTGTGTTCTCATCCATAATAGAGAACAAATATTTATTGAGCCATATTGTAAGATTCACTTTGTAATACACTTGTACACTAAGAGGAGTGTGTGGTGAGAGTCGGGGATCGTCCCAAGAGGAGTGGCGTCGGTTGACAAACCTAGGGAGAGGTTGTAACCGAGCACTTGAGGGAGACACGTCTAGTTCAACACTTAGTGGGTGTAGAGTGAGATTACAATAGTGTGTTATTGTGAAGTTTTCGGTGAACTAGAAAACCGAGTGTGAGGAGTGGACGTTGATCGGTGATCGTTGAAAACCGATATAGTGCGGTTGTAAACGTTATTCGGGTGAACGTAGAAAACCTGGTTGTGATAGTGGATTTCTCCCCGGGAGTGGGGAGCAGAGACGTAGGACGGAAGGTCCGAACTCCGTGATCATATTGCTTGTTTGAGTTTGGCTTAACACTTATATTTGTTCATCTTTATAGCCTTTCTCTCATTGTTTATTTCATCCACTATATCATTTGTTTATGTTAGGGAGTGGGGAGCAGAGACGTAGGACGGAAGGTCCGAACTCCGTGATCATATTGCTTGTTTGAGTTTGGCTTAACACTTATATTTGTTCATCTTTATAGCCTTTCTCTCATTGTTTATTTCATCCACTATTTCATTTGTTTATGTTACCCTTGTGTTTGCATATCCTTACATATATCATATTCTATATCTTTTTGGTAGGATATATCATCTTGTGCTAGTTTATATATCCTTACATATAATTTTATCATATAGGATATATTCTTTTTGCTCATATTGTTTATCCTAGCTTACATATCTTATTGTATTTCATTCTTGCTAGGATAACTTGTTAATAAGTTTTAACTGGCATATAATCGGATTAGATCTAACCCCCCCCCCCCCCCCTCTAGGGTCTAACACCTGTTACAGTCGCATCTGCAGAAAAAAGTTTTTCAAAATTAAAATTATTAAAATCTTATCTGAGATCGATCATGTCACAAGAAAGACTAAATGGACTAGTTTTGATATCCATTGAAAATGATTTTATAGATAAAATTGATGTTAAAGGCTTAATTAGTGATTTTACAGCTAAAAATGTATGGAGGATAATTTTTCGATGATACTTTTTTATGCTAAAGGCTTTGATATCTGATGAAGGTAAGCACAGATACAAGAGGAACATAATATGCAAGTATTTCTTATTGTGGACAATTTGCTCTATTAGAAAGCTTTATTAAGGTGGGATTACATGCATTTATCTGATTAGTAACATTTTATTCAGGTGACCGAAGAGATGAAGAATTGGCAATAGCACTTGAAAAGTATGTTAAAGACTATCCAGATGCAAAAAAATCAGGTAACATTTTAATGTTTGATCAGTAACATTTTTTCCCTAGCATTTTAAGGATTCAAATAGGAATTTATTGATATTTTGTATATAGAGAAGTGCCTTGTGTTTACTTTTCGCACAGGGCCCCTAAAATCTCAGAACCGGACCTGGTTACACCTATCCAAATCCTATTTTGCAATAGAATTAGTGTATGTTTAAAATAGGATTACGGTAGCTTCAATAGAAAATTTAATAAAAGTAAAGGTTGCAAACTTTAGGGTACATAAGTGCAAACTTTTTTTAAAAATTAGGGTATATAAGTGAAAGTTTTAAACATTTTAGGGTATATAAGTGTTGACAAAAACATATGTAGGTATATAAGTGCAAAGTAGAGGAAAACGTTGAGGTATTTAGGTGCAATTAAGCATTTTCACCGCGCATTCATATTTCTGCTAGTTTGGATGGGAAACAAATACTCGCTTGTGGCCCAAACACTATACTAGCTCCTACTGCATCTTTTATTCCAACTATAACTGAATAAATATCTAATTTCTCGTTTTAATTTCATTTATTTATCATTTCTTGCTTTAACTTCATTTTCATATTGGTTTTACAAATTTTGCACAGAGAGGAGAGATCGACTTCAACATTGGATGACTTGATCCTAATCAAAATAAGAAGAAAACATAATAATTTTGGATACCAACCCGTGATAATGATTGGGTTGAGAGTCTACAAACTTCAGCTCTGGGGTTTGAACAAGAGTCGTCACTTAGTTTTGATGATTAAACTTTGGGACGAATTTTCAAAACCAACCTATTTTCACATTTTATCCCCAAAAAAGATCTGTTTTGAACTTATTTTCAAAAACTGACCTGGTTTCAGCCCTGGCGTTGAAACCAGCACTGACGCTGAAACCAGGTCGGTTTTTAAAAAAAAAATCCGAAACTTCACGGGAGTTTAACTCCCGTGAAGTTTAGTAAATATGCTAAACTTCACGGGAGTTCAACTCCCGTGAAGTTTCGGAAGCTTTTTCACAAAAACCGACCTGGTTTCAGCGCCAAGGCTGAAACCAGGTCGATTTTTGCAAATAAGTTCAAAACAGGTCGTTTTTTGGGATTAAATGTTCAAATAGGGTGGTTTTGAAAATTTGTCTTTAAACTTGGTTATTGACTAAATGAGAAAGAAGGTGATAAAAATAAAGGGAATAAAAATCATGGTTTTGTATCTTTCTCTCTCATAGAAGTAGGTTGGACCAATTTATTAAGGACCCAAATCATTAAAAATTAGTAATTGACACCGTTAGCTCGCAGAAATATGGAAGTAAGAGGGTTTTCTAATTCAAATGATTAGTTTACCGGGATTTTATGAAATCACCCCTATTAATTTGTTACGGATTTAAAACCCTCCCAAAGTTTCCACTCCACACAAGAAAGAGATCCTAGATTAATTTTAGCCTAACAATAATTGGGCGAAAGTTGAAAAATTTTTCCTTAGTTCAAATGCTAGCCTTTAAACTAATTTTCTTTTGGACCATCCTCTGAGTTAGAACTAACTTAAGCCCAGTTAAGAGGAAAAATGGACTTGATTCAGTCTCTATCTAAAGTTGCCAACCGAGTAAGGGTTCTATCAGAGCATTCCATATAATTAAATAATCTATACCATGTATGGATGTATAGAGAGTTAAGATGGAGATTGTGACTATTCAATCGATGGTGTGTAGTCGTGCCAACCACCTCATTCGTATAGGGATTGTTCTAATAAGATCCCTACTGTTGCCAGACGAGGCCATGAATAAAGAAGATTTGCATGCTTGGATCATGATAATTGTCAACTCTATGATGTGATATTCGTACGTATGTAAGTGGGAATGATGCACAACTGGAATAAGTGAACACATCAACATACTCTCTTCTTTTGGTTCAATCTCAGTAAGAAACAATGTTTGATCGCAATGACGTGACCCGCAAAGGCTCATGGGAGGAGTACAAGAACCAAGGAGGTCATGGGCAAAGCTCAAGTTGTGGTAATTTCAATTACTAGACGATAGTCTTGTAATCTTTTTACAGAAAAATGTAGGTGTGAAAATGTTACTTAATGGTGTTTGCATCTAGTTACTATTGGCTAGATTGTTTTTGTTTTAATAAAATTCTTAAACATCAAACAAATGAATCTGCTTTTAATGAACGATTCATGAACCGCGCCCATTAAGTTTTTGAAATGAAAAAAGCTTGAAATTAGATTTTTTTTTTTAAACCTTCATTTGTGGTCTTTTTTTGCTTCTTTTTAATTTTTTGAGAGTATCGATAAAGAGCTCATTTTACTGCATATGATGACAGAAATGAAAGTGTACTAATTTTAGATGAATACAAACTCAACTCTATGTAGGGATCACTACTGATGATGAGTAATAAAAAGAATATTGAGAGAAAATAGTCAATATCTACTTTAAGTTTTCATAATTTACTATTTCATGATCTTTGAACTGCAGTCCTCCATGTTAGGATCACTTGTGGTACATGCTTCCCTAGTGTTCATACATAGAAGCAAAAAAAAAGTGCCCCAGTTACACATTGGACTAAAAAAGTCAGGCAGCACTCCCTGCTCATAGTTGGGGGCCTATGAGGCTTCAATAATACTAGGAAATTTCAATGCAGAAACAGATAGCTGCGAAAAAATCTTCGCTCAGAACTCCTGCAACCGGCTAAATTATCCGATGAGTCAGTTACAAGAATCAGCCTTCCTCCCAGTCTATGCCATCATCATCATCTTCATCCCCACCAGATGCATCAGCATCATCTGCTTGGACATTCAAGTCCACCTTCAATGTTTTACCTGTGTTACAAAAAACTTCTGTAATTTGCGAATGCATCCTTGGAAAATCCCCAAAAAATTAAATTTAACGAAACAATCATGAAATTTTAGGTGTTCTGCGCAAAACTAACATAATATTTGTATTAAAGAAAACTATTATCATGAAAATTGTTCACTAAAGCATCATATTAGATAAGCATGTGTAATGTTCTGGAGAATTTTTGCCCCTGCGTGCTTTATGTATTCTATATCACCCTTGTACACACACACACACATGAGAAATGGTAGTATAGACCATTTATGTAAGATGTCAATGCTATTAGCAACCTCTTCCAAGCTTTGCAAGCTCATGGTAGTTTCCTCTAATAAAAGAAATTAAAGAGCGAGTTTATATAACAAGTAAATGGTTTGGAATGCTTGAAATGAGACCACCAGAAGATAGAAGGATGAATGCATGAAAAATGAAAGTCTGAAAGGGACATAAAATAAAGCTTGGTATACAGCAAGAAATAAGGAGATCGAAGGGGCTCTATAACAAGAAGTAAGGATAACAAAATATATCACCTCAAATAACACCAACTTAATAACAATAATAATAATAATATATCCCTAGATTTAGAGGACTGTAAAACATGCAGTTTGAACGTCTAAAAATTTGGACATCATCGAATAATGCAGTTAGCGTAACTCTAGTCTTAAGATATTCATTCACTACCATATCCATGAACAGTTTCCTTATCAAATGGCCCTGTTGCACCTGTCCCAGTGCTAGGAATCAACAGTTGACTATTCCCAGACAAACCTAGATAGAATCGTGATGTTCTGAAGATCTAAGCAATGGTGGACATTCCATAACCTTGTTACAAACAGAAAGGATGTGCATTTTAGTAAGCAATCTAGTCCTCGTCTTTTACTCTCCAATCATTCTTGGGAAGTAAAAAAAGAGTGGAAACACCACATGTGTGAGATTGTTAACAAAAAGTTTTTAATATGTCAGTCAGGGCAAAGAAATTCATCTCATGTGCTAAGCAATTAACAATAGAAAGCTCAACAAGACAAGGAACCAGGAACATTACTTATAAGATAAAACAAGACACAATCGTGAAGGCTAGCAGGATTTACCTGCAGATGGACTCTCTTCCCATTCAACATCATTTTCATCATCCTCCCGCTTTGATTTCATACCAATTTGGCGCTCAGATACTGCTTCAGATGTGGATGCCCCATCGTTTTCTGCCTTCTCCATTCTATTGGATGCTGTTGCTTGTTCTTCCTGTTTCTTCACTAAAGCAGCATAAGCAGCATAATAAGCTTTGACATACTCATCCTACAAAATTTCAAACCATAGAAGAACTTCAGTCATGAGACAAAAGTATCTATTACTAGAAATTGCATGTATTGTAGAGACTATCATTCAACTAGCCTGGAAGCTCTTTTCATCTTCAGATTCAGCTTTTGGCTTCTTCTCGTCAGCAGGTTGTGACATTTGATCAATGTTCAACTCAGTCTTGACCTCTCCGCGTTGTTCTTTAGTAAGATTCATTCCTTGTTTGATCATCCATGGAGGTAAAACTTTCATGGTTGTAGACTTCGTCGCAGTTTCAGTGCTCGCTTCTTTAGCTTCAACGCCAGCAAGAGCAACTTCAACCTGCCAAATTTACTAGTGTGATTAGTTTGTCCATAAAGAACTACATGCTCAATGTGGGCAAAAGGGATGGTCTGGATTTTATATGTGACTTGCATATGAATGGGCGCTACAGTGACGCATTCCAGAAAGTGATGGTCTTGCAGATGCCTTGCATACGAAGTGGGCGCTACAGTGACACATTCCAGACAGTGACTTGCATATGAAGTGGGCGTGTTGTTTCAAAGAGGAAGGGAGGGTATCCGTGTGCGCAGGCGTGTTGTTTCAAAGTGTCATAGTAGAATATAGATGTGGATCAATATATCACTAAGTGATGGTCTTGCAGATGCCTCTTCGTTCATGGTTGACATCAGATAGTGGAAAGCTTTCTAACTTCTCAAATATTACATACTATCGCACAAATTTGCAATTTAACAACAGAAAAGTGACTAGAATTAAAGGATTTGGAGAAAGTGAAGCCACCATACCTTTGTCTCACCAAGGAAAGGCATGGGTGTTCCACCATAGCCTTGTGCTTGAGATTTTGAGGCATCATTTGCATTGGGATCCCCATTGACACGAGCAGCTGCATTCGCTCTAGCTTCCCAAGCTTGAAGAGTACCAAATTCAGGTATTGATAAATCTTTTACTCTTCCAAGCTGCAATGTCAAAGGCTTCAGTTGCTCCTGCAATCATTAGATTTTCATCGATGACTGGGAGATGCTACAGACAATCATTCATGTAAATATACATATATAGACCCACATGCACACACAACATAATTCATCATGATCAAGAAGTCTTCAAAACTATGTAAGTACCAAAGCCAGATGGTCCAGGAGATGTAATACAATTAGAACTTTCCATTTTAAGACTATGTACGATTAAAAGTATCCATATATGCTGGTTATGTACATTATTATTTATGGTGTAGTCCATTACACCACTAGACCAGCTTATTAGCAGGCCATAGATGTATAATTGATTAATCATTAAAAAACACTTGTGAGCTTGTCCAAGACACATCTCCCATGACAGAAAGAAGACCGCCATCTTTTTTATCCTAAGAACTCCATTTTTCCCCAACAGAAAAAGTTCAATGTTTTAGTATGCACCAAGTGTGCTTCACAGACAATCAAAAAGGCCACAGGGAAAGGATATCTTCATCATCTACAAGAGAAAAAAAAATTTAAAAGTGACCATGTCACAGGAAAAAATTAGACAATGTAAGTGTAGAGTAATGAACAGTATCCCACCGAACTAAAATGGTTTGGATCACACGTGACTGGCTCCCAGATTGGTGTTAGATGATTCCAGAGATATATGGCCTTGGCTTACCATCGCTCACCAGACTCCCAGATTGGTGTTACACGATTCCAGAGATATATGGCTTTGGCTTATCATTGCTCACCTACATTTAATGCTCTAAATGTAGGATATCAGGGGCATGACGGACTGAAAATTTTCATATGGGATGGTGGATGTTGGGGATATAGTGGAGATACTAATAAATATCAAAGTATCATATCGGATTATGTGCATACATATATCATAGATATTCATTCTTGATGCACCAACGACTAGATCTGTGGAGCAAGGTGGTTTCTTTTGCAAAACTTCTGCAGATGATCTTGGTATCAATTGAACCTTAATTCACATTTCTGGTTATTTACACAAGCGGTTTTTTTAAAGAGCTTAATTTGAACCATAAATCCAAACCTTTCTTTTAACAAAAAATAAAAGTCCAAAGCAATATAGTAACATTTGGACGATTTTCTGAGGCTGAAATGTCACTTGATATATCAGGAAAACCACGATATATCGCCAAAATATTGTCAAATAGAGTAAAGGATATTGAGACCATACCATCCTGCAAGCTTTATAAAAGGATAGCTCGGCTGATGTGCCAATGTATTGGCATATCAAGAATATTTAAAACAATGCTTGCCTGTGAACCACTTTCTAGCTCCCTTAGGTATGTGAGCTCCTCATAACCCCCATCACAATTGCAGAGATCATAACTGGAAGAATATTCTCACAAGGATTCTGTGCAACACCATGAAGTATTTCTAACTGCTAACTTCCATAGTGCTCCTATTGTAAAGATTCGATAGTGCTCGTGATTTATGTGCTACCAACCCATCTACTTGGCAGATGTCTGGTACTAAACTCAAATTCATCAGTCTAATGAAATATGTATAACGAAACCAATGCTTAGCAAGAGATATATGGTAGGATTGAGGTTAAGTCATAAGTTGTTGCCAAGTTTGTTAATAACAGGCCATAAAACAAGAACAGATCTTGCAACTACAATAAGGGAAATTTATGATTTGATGAATCAGAAAGCTTAAACAAGAAAACTGGACTATAAATATGGTGCTTGGTTTACTTAATCTAGAATAATGGACTATGAATATGGTGCTTGGATTACTTAACCTAGAGTAGTGGACTATGCCATAGTGCTTGGATTACTTAATAACATCAAAGATATTCATTTACAAACAGCTTGCTATTTTCACGTTTGCCAATAAAAATAACCACCATTACGCGACTTCTAAGTTCTAATTAATAAAAGGTATCATGTCACATGACTGAGAATGGACAAAGAATTTAGCAACTCCCAAAATTTAATTAAGGCTTTGTTGTTGGTTGTTGTATCAAATAGACTATTGAGCTACATACCATGATGTTTAACAAAAACAATAAAACAAGATATGAAAGAAAAAACAAGATAAGAAATAACTAGTTATAAAGTTTGAATACCTTGTCAAAAAGATAAGATTAGAGGGGTAACTTTTAGTCAAGAAAATCTGCACAATGAAGGTATCACCTATGCATATCTAACAACTAACTACTAACCAAGATTTTAAATGTCGGATGTCGGATTCATGTCGGATGACTGGAATCCATGTCGGATAGCGAAAATCGGGGACATATCGGGGGATATGAACTAAATATCGGATTGCCATATCGGGTGGTGCGCATATGTATAATATCATGTCCTAAATGTAATCTAAGTATTCCTAAATTCAATATAGGCATACTTTATAAATTCTAGAGGCGGCGCCGGCGATGGGTGAATTTCGACGCCGCAGAGAAGCAGTGCGGGCGACAGGACGTCGCAGGGAGGCAGTGTCCGGGCTCTTCTTCTTCGTCTGCTCGGGGTCCTTCGGATGAGTCATCGACCACCCTCTTTCCTTTATCCCGACGACGAGATATCCTACCGCCATCGGGTTCGGTTGGGGTTCGGATTTCGGGGCGCAACGGGAGATGGATGACGAGGGGCCGAGATGGAGGTGGGGGAAAGGTGTCGTCGTTCACGAAAGAAGTGATGGGTTCCCAAACCAGCTGCAGCCCTAATTTTTCTCTTTTCTTTCTATCGGGTTCATAAGAAACCCTTAAACATGAGAACGGGTCAAACGGGTTTGGGTTTTTATCACTAAACCCAAACCCGATAACAAAAAAAAGATCTAAAAAAAGGACCATATCGATCGATTTTTCAAAGCTGAAAAATCGGCCGATATGCCCGATATGGCCCTGATATTTCCGATTTGGCCCTGAAAACCGACATGAGTTAAAAACGCACATGTTGTGTCGCTCAAGCCCTCAAACCGACATGTCGGCCGACATGTCTGACATGTCGGCCAACATTTATAACCTTGCTACTAACCATAAGCTGTGCATTTCAAATATGCTAATATTTGGTAACAAAACACGTGTAACTTAATCTCATTAAAGTAGACCATCAGACTTAAGTTTAAGAAAGAAAAAAAGAAAGAAGGAAAATTTAAACAATTCAAAAAGCTTTTTCAAGTTATGCATACATAATGGCACCAGTTTATTCATACTTATAAATACATAAATATTTAAATGCTGGATATAAAAACAAAAGTGGCAGAATATATTTCAACCTCCATTTTCTGAAGCATGTCCTTCAACTTTTCTCGCCGCCTCCTTCTAGCATTGTCATCCCCTTCTCCCATTTCTTCAGCAGCAAGCTTGTCACTCTCAGCAACAAGTTCACCATTGCAATTCTCACAGTGAAAATATTCATCATTTGGGCTCATAAGTTGAGGTGCATCAAAAGCTGAAAATCTGAGTATATGAATTTCATAAATTCATCAATAAGAGATATTGTAAAATTCAGTTTTATAAACAATAACTGCAAAAAAAATACTTCATGATCATTATACCTCCTCCCACAGTTTGGGCATATGTAATTTNCTATGTATTCTATACCTGACAACATCGTATATCTGCAGCCAAGTATTCATTGCACATGTTCCAACAAAAGAAAGGATTCTGTCATGGATAAATTAACAATAAAAGAATTCAATATAGATAATCAACTGTCAGATTGGTACAAATAGGTAGAAGGAAATAACCTTATATTTACAAAAAATTCAAAAAAAAAAAAAAGAAAGAAAGAAAGAAAGAAATACAAGTTAACTATTACTGAATGACATTATCTGACATGCATGCTTTGTTCATTGTTGCACTAGAATTTGACACCTATTTGTGTATGTACTATTACACAAGTAACAAGAAGCAAAACAATAGTCTGCAAAACCAAAAAAAATTATTTCTTCATTTTGGGAGTGTTTTATAGGGCGTGTCTATGGACAAGAGGCTGGAATCTGCATGTCTTGTACGTGGAAGGATGTTTGATGGTTCTCAAGAAAACTCAACCCAGCACCCACCCACCCCCCAAAAAAAGCAAAAAAGAAAATTCTGAAGGAACCCTAATTGCAAAGTGGTCAAGCCCAAACCATCGCATTTCAAGCTCCACACTACAGGAAGTTTGTAATATGCGAACACAATAAGGGATCACAATTTGGCTAATAGGTGCAGTTAGATGGTTCCAATGGTTTATCCATAGTTAGAAACCTCAATTACAATATACAGTTAAAACCCTGCACAGACTTATGCTTACATCTGCTTGTACTTAGTTGCATTTACTTTGGATTCAGATTACCTTATTCTGGCAAGGTGACTCACCCATGCAAACAATCCTAATCATTAAATCCATATGTAAAAAGTATAAGCATATCAACAAGAGATCCAACATTATTATTTCATATAGTTTGCTATTATTTTTCTGCCTATTGTATGACCATCCCAACATTAGGCAAAGCATGATTGTGTGTTTTCTTAAAAGTGTTTTTAAGCATTTATTTTATTGCATGCCAGAGCAGTGTTTTATTGCATTAAAAATATTTTAGCAAACTTACCTTATTTCGAAATATAGGTTATATGTATAAAAAGAATAAGCATATCAACAAGAGATCCAACATTATTGTTTCATATAATTTGCTATTATTTTTCTGGCTATTTTATGACCATCCCAACATTAGGCAAAGCATGATTGTGTATTTTCTTAAAAGTGTTTTTTAAGCATTTATTTTATTGCAGGCCAGTGCAGTGTTTTATTGCATTAAAAATAATTTAGCAAACTTGGCTTATTTGAACATATAGGTCATATGTATATAGCGAAGTCCCAACTAAGACTAGATATCTGATTTAGGCATGCCTATAAATCGTCAGAAAGGATGCTTATGCAATGAGTCAATGACATGCCACGATAATAAGAACTTAACTTGTATGGCAAGTGAACTTGTGTCTGAGCCTCTGAGGCTATCAGCATGTGAATCACGACTCGGAGATCAAATAGCCTACATTTTTATGGAGATCTGAATTCAAGAGCTCTAGAAACAATTAATTAGGCTTGGTTCAGGACCTCAGGTTCACAACATGGTTTTAAATATCGGCCGATAATCCGATATTATCACCGAGTTATCAGATTTGGGAGCTTTCCGCTAGGATAAGTAGGAATTTTAATCGGTTATCGTTTTTTGGGGTTTATCGGCGAGTTATCGACGATAAAGGTACTTATTGGCCGATAAGGGAGGCTCTAAATATCGACTTTATCGGGCCAAATTTTGAGTTCAATTTTCGGGTAATGGGTAGTTATTTAGTGAGTTGTTAAACCCGACCACTTGCTTTCTACAATTGGTTAGTGATTCTAAACATGATTATTTATACTTTGGTATGTTTATATTTCATTAAGTATGGTTAGATTATATTTTTTGGTTATTATATTATATATACACCATCTAGTATATCACTCCGATAAATACTACTTATCCCCGATATATCCCCGATTTTCGCTATCCGATAAGGATTTTGACCGTCCGATAAATCCCCGATAACCGATATTTAAAACCTTGGTTCACAAACAAGAGCACTGTAACTTGCTCAAACCAATTTGGGTAGCAAGTAATGATGGATGAGTTTGGACCATATTGATCTAGGTTGAAACAAAAAACTAACTTCTGACAATATAAAGATGCAAAAGCATATTAATTGTCACAGATTTCTAACCCCATCACACTCTCCCTATGACGGACCCCGCTCTCTCTACCTACCGAATGATCAAACTCTAAATTCCTGAAGAAAACGCTATAGACAGATGGAACCAACCATTAACTCCAGCTGCTTAGCATAGGCTATCTTTGACCTTCTTGGTTTCATTAAAAAAAAAGGAAAAGAAAGAGAAAGAAGGAACAAGAGAAGTGGTTGCGTGGAGTTTCAGAGCCATAGTAATCGCTGGATGTCCATGTGCGCTTTTGTGGGATAATCTAGCCAGGGTATCACCATCTCAAGTGGCCCTTAAGACCCTCTAGATATTCTTCTCGTGTATCCTCTCTATTTAAATGCATGAACAAAATTAGATAAAACTTCCTCTTATATGCTCACATCTTTGTTCATATTCCCCATTGTCTTTCATGTTTTCTTT